CCCTCCAGAGATCATTGACCAACGCGACCAATGCCGTTTCCGTGCTGTGCCCCGGCCTGAAACCCGACTGGTATGGGTCTAGATAGACAACAGCGTATGCCATGGATTTTTCCATCCATCTATGGTTTTCTTTCCTTTTTGATCCAATGGGCTGAAATGCCAAATATGGTGACTTTCGATCTATTTACTATTCTATCATAGACTTTATGCAGAGAATGTTTCCATTGTTCCTACTGCAACCATGGCTTGTCCGTGAAAGGCTGGACAAGATGCCCAGAGGAAGTAGACCTGGAAGTTCTGCCCCAAGAGAAGATTGATGGGATCCTGTCTCTTGACAGCTACATCACTTATCGCTCTATCTGGATTGTGGCTAGGGCCTTAAATGCTGCGTAGTCATCTAGACCCAAGAGGAAAGTGAAGGATGACAAAGATTGGTGGGTTGTTCACCAATTGCAGTTGTGGCATGTATTCCCTCTGCATAACCCTGTGGAGTCCCTCTTTCTTCTTTTAAAAAAAAATGTAAACATATCTATGAAGATCATTATTTTCTTCAGAGATTTAGCATTCTTGGCTATGGGGTTATGTACTTTTCCATAGTAGGATATTTTTCATTCCATCAAGTATTTATTTCCCACCTTTTTTATTTTTCAGATCTTCATTAAACTTGTAATATAATTCATTATATTCTTCTGTCTTTCCCACTGTTCGCCTTATTTGAGATTTCTTTGTAATGTCATCTTTTTAAATGTTACATTTCTTAACATCATTGTATCATTCATCTTGAGCATTTCCCCCCCATTAATTTAGTGTTATTGAGCTTGGCTCAAGTCAAATGCTTCATCCTGAAATTTGAGGTAGGAATTTTTAATTCATTCAGTGTTAGAATGAATTCATTGAATTCAGTCAAATACTTCTATTTTGAACTCCAAGACAAATTTGATAGTTACTAAAATCAAGTACCTCCTTCATGGATTACTGCCTTGGCGTGGCGAAGGGGCTTGTGTAACTCAATGAAGCTATGAGCTATGCCATGCAGGGCCACCCAAGATGGACAGGTCATAGCAGAGAGTTCTGACAAAATGTGATCCACTGGAAAAGGAAATGGCAACCCACTCCAGTATCTTTGCCATGAAAACCCCATGGACAGTACCAAAAGGCAAAAAGATATGATGCTGGAAGATGAGCCTATCAGGTCGGAAGGTGTCCAATATGCTACTGGGGAAGAGCAGAGGGCTAGTACTAGAAGTGCCAGAAAGAGTGAAGTGACTGGGCCAAAGCTGAAAGGACGCTCAGCTGTGGATGCATCTGGTGGTGAAAGGAAAGTCCGATGCTGTAAAGATTTTTTCTCCATAGGAACCTGGAATGTAAGATCCATGAATCAAGGCAAACTGGACTTGGTCAAACAAGAGATGACAAGACTGAACATCGACATCTTAAGAATCAGTGAATTAAAATGGACAGGAATGGGTAAATTTAATTCAGAGGACCATCAGGTATACTACTGCGGGCAAGAATCCCTCAGAAGAAATGGAGTAGCCTTCATCGTCAATAAAAGAATAGGAAAAACAATACTGAGATAATAATAATAATAATAATAATAATAATAATAATAATAATAATAATAATAATAATAATAATAATAATAATAATAATAATAATAATAATAATAATAATAATAATAATAATAATAATAATAATAATAATAATAATAATAATAAAGTTGGAAGGGACCTTGCAGGTCATCGAGTCCAACCCCCTGCTCAGGCAGGAACCTTACACCATTTCAGACACCATTTCAGATACAATCCCCAAAATGACAGAATGATCTCAGTGCAAATCCAAGGCAAACCATTCAATATCACAGTAATCCAAGTCTATGCCCCAACCACTGGTGCTGAAGAGGATGAAATTGACCGGTTCTAATGAAGCCCTACAGCACCTTATTGAATCAACACCAAATAATAATAATAAGAAGAACAACAACAATAAGAACAACAATAACAACAACAACAACAACAACAACAACAACAACAATAATAATAATAATAATAATAATAATAATAATAATAATAATAATAATAATAATAATAATAATAATAATAGGAAGATCTGCAAAAAATATCATTTGCCTATAAGCAAGAACTGGTGGGATCATAAAATAGAGAATGTCATAGAAAATGATAAAATTAAAGTGCTCTGGGACTTCAGAATTCAAACAGACAAGCGCCTGTTAATCTGAGTGTTCTGAGGAAAAGAAGGACAAGCAATAGTTTAAAACACACAAATATTAATTATTAATTCATTTATTTAATGTTTGAGATTATTTTGGATTTTAATTTGATTAATCTTACATTTCATATTTTTATTTCATTTGGTTTTAAAAGCCCTAATTGTCAAACAAAAGCAAATAATAATAATAGCAAAAACTAATTAAATGATGTGAATCTAAGAAACAATTTCATTATCAGTTTCCTATTCTTATCATTAAATGTTCCTTAGTGTTTAGCTCTGGTCTCAGGATTATAATATAGCACTTGGGGAGGAAGATGCAGCCCAGCAGCAGAGGCCAAGATCCAGACACTGCAGAAGACCAGCATACTGAAGGTGATCAGCTTGGCTTCGTTGAAGGCCCCAGGGAGGTTCCTGGCTAGGAAAGCCACCATGAAGCAAACAGCAGCTAGGAACCCCATGAAGCTGAGGACAACATAAAACATGGTGACAGAGCCCTCATTGCATTGAAGTATGATCTCTCCAGGCTGGGAGTGCAGGTCAGAGTCAGGGAAAGGGGAAGAACCTCCCAGCCAAAGTGCACAAATTAAAATTTGGACACCAGAACAAGAAAGGATAACAAAATTGGCCAAGCTCTTTCCCAACCACCTTTTCACTCGGTTTCCTGGTTTTGTTGCCAGGAAGGCCAATATCACAGTGATTGTTTTCACCAACAAAGAAGACACAGCTACTGAGAAGACAATGCTGAACATTGATTGTTGTAGAAGACAGATGGCTTTCCTTGGTTGTCCAATGAAGAGAAAAGGAGACAAAAAACAAAGCAGGAGGGAGATCAGGAGGATGAAGGACAAGTCCCGATTGTTGGCTTTGACAATGGAATTGGCGTCAAGGGAAAAAAATATATTGGCACTATATCTTTCTCCATATTTACACAATGATACAATCCAAAAATAATCAGTATCCTCAACCTAGAGTGGCATCAAACTCCATAGCTCTAGGTGACCTTATTCAGCAGTCTTTGAGAAAAAATACCACATTGAAAGATAGCAGAAGTCAATAACATAGATGTTGAAATGTTGCATTTTACTCCAGCATAATTTTCTGGACAGGTCCTGACAGGAAAGACCACAATCACTATAGAACACTGCCCTCAGGAGTGTATCTGTAATTTTTCAATAATATGCTATACATCAGCTTCCTTTCTGCAAATGGAGTCAATGAAAATGTTCAGGATCCCCAGAGGAAAAGTTGCTTCTCACTGTAATTATCACCATCCTGCTCTTTTACATGTCTCCTTCTACTTCTCAAGTAACTGCCTTTAATGTAAACATCAGACTGAAGCAACATAGAGGGGAAATCACTGCTTTTGTGAGAAGGCTTTTAATTCTTCAACTCTTCTTGTTTTTGTTAAGAAACAGGAAGGGGATTCATTCAGCCCCATGAATTATGGAGCTTCTGCTTCTGTTGCTACTGTTGTCCCAATCAGTCTCTGGGAAGTTTAGAATGAAATGCCCACTGACTTTGGAAAACCAGGATGGAAAAAAACCATGGAGCTATTACAGACCAGGAGACCATCTCATTAGTATAGTCATCACTGCAACAAAAACTTCTCATATAATGTTCCCTTTCAATGTAGCTCCTTCTAGTCAGTCTCACTCGTACGTCATTCAGGTTAATGGAGTTGCATTCCCTCTATTTATAATTCTAACACTCTCATTTTGTTCTCCTTATTCCACTTGCTATTATATTGCTGCATTTCTCCTATGTAATTCCCTGAATCATTTTGATTTCCATGCTTTCTTTGTCTTATTTTGAGGAAGAGATTCAAATCCAAAGATTGGACAGAAAAAAAAAATCTGAAAGAAGTCTACATTATTTTCCTCTCCCTGTTCAATTTCGCATTCATTATTTGAACACCGACTTTTGTTTAAATTGGTGATTATTATAGTTTTCCCTAATCAGATCATTTCCAATATAAGCTACTCATTGATATTTACTTCTTGATCCTTATAGAAATACAGGATGATTTATTTTTAGAATTGGCTTCTGGATCACTTTTGAAACATCCTCTTCCTTTTATGTTGGTTCTACTTTAATTATTCAATTATTTTGAAATCTGGTTACTGGGCAGGTGAAAATTAGTACTGCCAGAAAGAATGATGTATTTGTGATTTTTAACCCAGGTCAATTCCATCATCCCAACATTCATTAAAATTAAATGGAGATGGGTTAGTATCATTTATCTCTAGGTTTGGAGTCAACATTGGCTTAAGACTTTAAAGGCTTCAAGAGACAAAGTGAAAAAAAAAGTTTGTTGTTGGTTCTGTTGATAATAACAACATCATTTTTACAGGACTTTAATGTGCGTGCAAAAGTATTATGCTTTATTTTCACTAGTCAAGCAAAAAAATATAAAAAATATGAAATATATTTTGTTATTGATGATGATGGTGAAGATAAAATGAACATTTCTTTACAGTAGAATATCTTCTGATCAGTCTAAACTCCTACGCTTCATTTTTGCTATTCAAGTCATCAATAAGAATTTCCAGCTCCTGCGCAATCTCACACTTGGCTACAACATCCATGACAATTATTTGAGCACCATTGGCACTTCAGATGCCTTGCTGGACATGCTCTCTCCTGGAGAAGCCAATATTCCCAACTACAGTTGTGGAAGGAAGGATAACCTTTTGGCTTTTATTGATGGAACTGACAAGGACATCTCCATCCAGATGTCAAGATTAGTAGGCCCCTATAAACTCCCACAGGTATGTATGTGTGCCTCTCTATCTAGTAAAGTGAGTGGATTGGTACAACATGTAAGCAATAAATCCAACCATATCTTCTTTATGGAATTCAAGAGCTACTTTTTTCCATGGTCACTCTAGGTATGTTGTGTAGTGATGGGATTGACATTGGGAAGAGGGGAAGCATCAAAGCAGCCATATCATCTCATGACACATCCCCGTTGCTTTGGGGGCTTCTGCTGCACACTTGAGGCTCTGTGTCAAATCAAAGGATCTTCCGTACAAAAGAAGCACTGATAGAAAGCTCTTGTTTTGTACATCACCTTACTCAAACTAATGATATTTTGAATAATGTACAAATACCAGATTCATGAAAAGAATCCCAATGGCTTATCTTACTTTATAAGACATATAACTTATAATACATATAAGACAAACTCCTGCCCACAATCTTGAGTTTGATCCTGACAGGGCTCAAGGTTGATTCAACTTCCCATTCTTTCAAGGTTGGTAAAATGAGGCCACGGATTGTGGGGGGCAATAGGTGGACTCTGTAAACCATCCAGAGATGCTGTAAAGCATTAGGAGGGGGTATATACTCTGTGTGCAGCTGGAACAATCTGGAGCTGAAAACACTTAAAACTATAGAGATGAAAGTGGATTTTAGGAGGAGCTCTCCTATTCTACCATCTCTTACAATATTAGCCAACACAGTATCAACATTAGAAATCTTCTAGTTTCTGGGTTCTATAATCTGCATCAACTCAGAAAGTTCAGATTGTCCAAGGAGCTACTGATATAATTCTACAGAGGAATTACTGAGTCTGTCATTTGTATTTCTATAACTATCTGATTTGGTACAGCAACTAAACAGTACAGTACAGACTCCAACAGATAGTTAGGACTACAGAAAAAAGAATTTCAACCAGCCTGCCTTCCCTTGAGGACCTGTACACTGCATGGGTCAGAAAGAGAGCTGAGAAAATATCTACAGACCCTTCACACCATGGACATAAACTGTTTCAACTCCTCTCCTCACGATGCTGCTATAGGGCATTGCATGCCAAAACAACTAGACACAAGGACAGTTTTTTCCTTGTGCCATCACTCTGCTTGAATATCTAATTAGCATAGTACTGAATTATGTCTAAGGCTATTTACCCATCTAGTATGGCTATATTTTTATTATCCTTCTCAGCTTTCCTACTACTTTCTTCTTTTGGTATCTTATGATTAGATAACCTTGTTGTTTATATGTATACTTGTTTGTATCTACATGTTGTTTATTATTACCTTGCTGTTTGTATGTACACTGAAAGCTTTTGTACCAGAGACAAATTCCTTTTGTGTCTAATCACACTTGGCCAATAAACTATTCTATTCTATATAAGTCTAAGTGTTATTGCTATTGCTAATCGGTTCATGATCAAATTCATCATAAAGAACTGGAACAGCAAAAAAGCCCCAGAAAGGATTTTTTAGTAGCTGAACTATTCAAGAAATTACCCAATCTTCAATAGTAGTTCTTATATATACATATATAAATTAATAAGAAGGATGTTGCAATTAAAGCCTAATTAGTCTGGTAGATATTTTGGCTAAAACAATATCTTGTTCCTCTTAAATAGAATGGGAATGTTCCTCTTAAATAGGTGGGAAGATAAAGA